AAAGTGGTTGTCCCGGGCAGCCATGATCAGAAGGTTGAAAAAGTGTTTTGGTCTGTCTGTCTATGAGAGGAGAAAAGGCGGGGATGAAAGTTTCTCACAGACGGCGCCACCGATCTTACTGAACGATCAGAATCTGAAATGGGTTGAAGACGAACGTCTGTGATGCTGGGTGTGAAAGAGGAGGAGGGGGTGTACCTACAAGGCACTCCGATGCTAAAGTAAGAAAACGAGTAAGAGAGCAAGCAAGTACAAAATATGTGTTTCTAGGTAAGAAATTGAATACCTGATCCTCTCAAGTGAGAGGGTTTTTTAATAATGCCTCCAGCGCTTGACCATTGGTCCCTATATCGGAGGCGAGATAACCGTTTTCCGAAGAATAGGTAACTGCCAGAAATAGCCGTTGGAACGGGCAGACGTGTTCATAATTAACCGTTGGCGCGGGCAGGGGCGTAGTTATGGGCACAAGCGTCCTGCCTGTTCCTGGATGGTGGAACCGTGCGTGACGGGCAGAGATTTGCAGGGAGAAATAATGTGACCAAGGGGTAAATAAGTCAGTTTCCCTTGTTGGAGGGGCAGAAAGATAAACTCTCCCCCAACGAGGTTGGACTTAGGCAATTAGGTCATTCTGGAAGCAGAAGAAGATTGGGTCATGCCTAGCCATTGGGTCAGTCCGGAACAACACTTATATCCCAAAAACATAAAACAATCGATTAAAAGTTCTAAGATAAAAAATGCAACAATGCAAACTCTTAACACTATATGATCAGAATATAATCACTACTAGAAAAAACACATTTAACCTCGGATGCGAAATACATTTAATCTCGACAACAGAGACGAGGTAACGAAGAACGTCATAAAAACTGCACACTTTACCTCTCGATTTTAAAAAGATGACAGGTATGTGAAAAGTCACGAGTTCGATCACAGAGGGGGGGGGGGTCTTTTTGAATTGTAATGACGAAAATACATGTCCCCTCAATTTTTTAATTTCACCGATGAATATACCATATTTTCACCTCGATTACCTCATAAAACCGAGGGGTAAAATAATTTTGAGTTTATTACCCCTCGAAGATGTATATTCAAAATTAATCGTATAACAATTGGCAATTTTACAAAAACTTATTTTTCAAGCTCTTCACAAATTTATCCCTGCATAAAACAGAAACTGAATGGAAACCAGAGCGTTTTCAGATATGCACTTCTAGATTTGCCCCATTTCTACTCAACAAAGGGGTATTTTAGAGATGCATCTCCGTATAGACTCTTATTTTGGAAACCAAACTAGATGAATTTGGAGATGCATATTTAAATAATTCTTTGAGACATGATAGAGTTTCTAAGGTTCATAATGAACAAAAAATTTGTATAAATATGTGGTCTCTCATATCATATTGTTTACAAAAACACACCACACTAGAATAAACATATATTGACATGTTACATTTGTCTACTTCAACTGTGCGGAACCCCGAATTTAGTTAGGTATCTATGTTATGATTATCCATGTCATGTTACATATTTATATTACAATTATCTATGTATTGTGACATATTTTGATATTATTATATATTTTTCTTCAACTTTCTTCATCCATTTGTTACTGGTTTCTAGTTTAAGCTTACAATGTACATTTCGGATATGCATCTTCGTAAATTTTTTTGATTTTTGATTTAAGGATTGTTACAGAGATGTACCTCCAATTATACCTTAATATGGTTACAAAGACGTATCTCCCGATATATTTTTGAGCAACATGGAATGACTCAATCACAAAGTGTTGAAGTATCTGCATTTTAAATGCGTTCAAAGACTTTTCAACAGTGTGAACTAACATCTTAAAGGTGAGAAATGTAATACCCAAAATCTCTTTAATATTCTTAATATTGTCCAATTGGATTGCCAAAGGAGATTCAAATCAAATCTTCTAAGGCCAACCACATTATTTAAAAGAATGACTAGGGTTTCATAATCTAGAAACATCTAGAGAAATTAATAGGGCAATTAATGTTTCTGTATCATAAAATATATGGGATTACCTTCCTTTAATGATAAAAACCAGTTTTGTCTAAAGCAAGTGAATGTGGGAACAATTGGATATAGGATTTTTAAGTTTTTGAATCTTGTTGAACAAAACCACTTACTTTTTTAAGCCTAGGACTTTTGGGGTTACAGGACCAAGTTTTGAAACAATTCTGACTAGGAAGCCATCCATCTTATTCTTGCCACATGTTAATTTCAGACTCATCTCCTATATTCTAATAACCACCTTTATTAATGACCAGATGAGAATGGTGAATGCTCTTCTATATGAAACTAGGCCTGTGACCAATTTTTGACTAGTAAGAGAATCTGGATTTTCAAAGATTCTCCATCTCTGTTTAATCTAAAGAGCTTCATTGAAGGCTTTTATTTTAAAACTCTAAAACCAAAACCACACACATTCTTTCTTTTGCAGATTGGATTCCATGCTTTCCGGTAAATTTCTTCTTCATATTGTTCTCGAAAGAGTTTAAGCTTAGAACCAAAATACTTAGGTAAAACACAAAACATCCCACCATAGTGTATGAGGTAATAAAAAATACTTTTAAGATTATATCAATTGTTCTGGAAAGTACCCAAACTACTCTAAGTAATTATTAGAAGGCATGATATATTATTCATTCATGATAACATCTAAAAAATGATATCTAATATCTCAGAATAACAATAACAATAATAATTCATGGCAATAAGAGGTTACAAACAATTATTATTATTAAGATTTATCTAATCAGAAAGTGAAGAAAACAGTGACAGAAAGAAACAAGTGCAGTTTTATGAAAGCTCACACATAGAACAGAACTGCATACATTGTTCCTACACAGTAGAAACTTACTAGTAGTAGTGTACATTACATGTCAAAGGAAACTAATATTTCTGGCCATTTTCAAATAAAACTGGAACCACAAATCTGCTGCTGGAGTGGATCATATGCTGAAAAGTGAAAACCCAACCAAGGGCTTCCCACTATGGTAACCATCCTGCCATGTAATTACTCATGCTTGGGCCTGCTGTGACCACTGATCCTGGATCGTGCTGATAACTGCGCTTAGGAAAATCATTTCATTACTTGACTTAAAATCGAAACATTTAATTTTAATGATATCAAAATATAACAAATCAATGTTAAAATAATACCAATTTACATCTAAATCCACCATATCTATCTATTAACCTTTCTATTTATCTAAAATCTCGTCTTTAAAAAGTACTGTATATGAGATGATGATTTTTTTTTTTATAATGACAGTAAATAACAATTAAACTAAAAAATTTACTTCAATTTAAATTGACATGATGAGTATCAATTTTTGTATATATATAAAATTAATGGCACTTATCACTCAAATTTAAGTTGAACAAAATATACTTTTTATGTTTTATTTAAAATGGAATTATATTAAACACTTATGTAGCTTTAAGAACTTATTTATTATAAATTGTAATATTTTGAAACACGTAAGTTAAAATTCAGTTGCCATTCTAACTAACATATCACCCAAACACTAATGTCAATCATAATTGCATCCAAAATACTACTCCTTTCTAAGATATCAATTGCCTAATTGCATCTAAAATGCTTTCTAAGATATCAAATGCCTAAAAACACCAACATCATGCTGACCAAGATTAACATTATCATCCATGATCAAAACTGAGTGAAGAAAAAGTGCGTACCCAATTTGTAATGTTGGCTCACACTCCAATTGTTGAAAGAGGCCATCACCGTGATTTTGACTTGGATGCCGACCATAGCCCATTTCTTCAACACATGCGTTCATTTGAAGTTGATTCAATTGATACCCTTCCAGCTGCTACAAAAACAGACAGAGACACTTAATTACTGATTTTGAACAAGACAATATCAGGTTTTTGGTCATGTATATTTGTTATGTGTTATATAATTTTACATGATTGATGAGGTGTTTTTTTGCGTACCCTTTGTCTGAGAGACCTGTTAGCCTCGCTTAGCATATGTTCCTACACAAGCAACAATGACAGGTGAGTAAAAGCATAATGCACTGGAAGTAGATAACGTATGCTGGCAAATGATGGTGAAATTGTTCTCATACCTTGCGTTGAAGATCAGAGAGCTGGTCCAACATGAATTGGGTCTGTAAAATAAGATAACATATATATACTCTATTATAAATTGAAGTCAGTAGTAACTTTTGCTTTCAAGAAAGACTTCAAAGAATTAACCGAATCTATCAAACAAACATGTTTTATCAGAATCCCAAATTATTTTTGAAGAACTTCCAGCAATATGGTTTCCATGTGGGCATGCACCTTCCTGGACTAGCACCAACCAAAAGTATAAAGTTTATGAATGACATCAACCACAACATACAATTGAGAAACCATGAAACCACTGAAAGGAAGAAAGAATCAAGGTTTTCACTCAAAAGTATACTCTTAGAGAAGCTCATCTTCATACTAGAAGCTACCTCTAACTATATTAGAAATGACTGGTTACCCACAGATTACCAGCACTTGCCTCCCAAATTAGAAAAATATCATCTGCAGATTATAGGTGAGATGCTACCACATCTAACGGATCCACCTTAAAACCCTGAAAAGGCCCGGAGATACTGATCGGTTCATTAAGCAATATAGGTCCAGTCCCTTGACCACTAGAAGAAAAAGGAACAGGGCCAACAAATATCACTGCTTTATTCAGCAGGACAACCATTAATCAGAACTCATATGCACCACCCGAAAATGCACATGCGCTTAACCAAGCTCTCCATCCAAGCTTAGTGCTAGGTTGAGTGATATCATTTTCCTATGTTTTTGGTATCGTTACAATTTGGTTCAGACTTTATGATTATGTTTTGCGCTGGAATTTCATATAGTAATTGACAAAAGTTCGAAAGTTGAGATTACCCTTGTTGATCTTATTTGCTTCAAGGATGAATCTAGCTGCCTTTCAAGCGATTCGAGCTCTTTGCTGCTTAGAGGCCAAGGTCTTCTCCCATAAGGTTCCTAACATGGTATCGGTTAAAAACGCTGTTATTCATAGTGACTTTGTATTGTATCAGCCATACTTAGAGATCATATATATAACCAAAATTATAGAGATAGCAGACAAACCGACAACAAGATGCACTGCTATCCCTTTTTAAACGGCAAAATCAATACTCTAACACTACATTCGCTGTCCTATATGACACAACTTTGAGATTGAAAGTAAAAATAGAGCATATATAATCACTACCTCTGAGACCGTTGTAATGCTTCATAACGTGCCTTCAGCTTCAAATATTCCTGTTGGCTGCTTAACTCCTATACTCATGGATGTTGCATTTAGATCACACAAATAATACATCATTTTTAAAGTTCACTTCTTGAATTCAAAAACTTATAAAATAATACATATAAAAAAGATAAAAAATAGTAGATAAACATAATTAAATTTTTTTTACTATTTTATTTATATAAAGCACACTAATTGAAAATTAAAAGGAAAAAAATGATCAAAATTAGTCGGATAAAAAGGACAATAGCATTATAGTTATGTAAGATATATGAGATTATTGAGAGTATTACCAATGCTTCCCGTGCAGATACATTAGCTTCAGGCGCACCATAGTTGCATTTCTGGTACCTCTCTAGTGTTTTGAGCATGCTGCACCCCACATTGCAAAATAAATAAATTTGTAAAAATTACATATCACATAAATATAATAAAAATAAGCATAAACTTACATCCTAAAAATATAAATAATTTTTAAATACATATTAATATAAATAACTTACATATTTTCTTGAAATATCAAAAGTGAATAGAAAAAAAATAATAATTAAAAAACAATATAAATAATTTCTCAATATCTATTAATATTAATATTAAATTATACCCACTCTTTTTTTTTACAAAAAATTATACCCACTCTTTTTTTTTTACAAAAAAATTATACCCACTCTTAAAACATACTAGTTGTAAGAGAAAAAATAGAAGAAAATAACGAGCTGACAATATAAATAATTTCTCAATATCTATTAATATTAATATTAAATTATACCCACTCTTTTTTTTTACAAAAAATTATACCCACTCTTAAAACATACTAGTTGTAAGAGAAAAATAGAAGAAAATAACGAGCACTGACAGCTTAATTTAGTATGCAATGATGGTAAACCCATATAAATTGAATTTTTGGTTCAATCATTTTCATTTTACATTATGCATAAAATAGTTACAACTAATATAGAAAATATAGAAAATATTTTAAATAGTAGATAAAATTATAATAAAACATAATTATATCAACAATTAATAACCTTTATATATAGAAAGTTTATTACTGGATTGACCAATAATTAATAAAAAGTTTGATAAAGAATAAACTGAAGGAAAAAATTCATAAAAAATTGTATTTACATAGATATCACGGAATTAGTAAATAAACAGTAAAAGAATCTTATGAGAAATCATATTTTAGGGCTGTAATCAACTTTAAATGACACAAAATTAGACATTCATCAGTGAAAACATTTCATTTTCAACAAAAATAATCAGAGTCTCAAGAAATTTACTATGACATCACATGTATATCCAAAATTGACCCATAAATGTAAAAAATCAACACATATTTTACCTGATGAATCATGACG